CGTATACAAGTATAACTGTTTTCTCGTGCCGAAACTTCCAATGAAACAAGAATTTTCTGACTGTTACAGTGGGTTTAGAAGAAATCTCGACTCGACTGAATTTAATGGTGAAGGCGGAGCTGGCCGAGCTGGTTGCAGGTGCACCTGTGCACGCGGCTGATCCCGAAAGGCGGTGTCAATATTTGGAGAAACTCTTAGGTAAAATGGCTTTTCCCCGAAAGAATCTTTTCATCTCGAGGGAACCAAACTTCCAACCTTTAATCTTCTCCGATTTTTTCTTTTTGCCAAACGCGTGTACAAACGCGCAGCGGCGATTTTGAAAATAGCACGTTTCCTTGTACGAAACTCGGATTGGGAACAATCGAAATGGTCGTACATCCAAGTAATATTCTCATCGACAGAAACAATGAACCAAATAGAATTCTTTCTCGATATTCTAATCACCGGTGCATTCGTCGTAACGTTGAAATAAGTGTTACTCGTTTACGCTAAGATGATATATTCGATATTTAGTCGATTATACGTATATTAGAATAGTATCTATCCAACGTGTCGTCGGAAGAAAAGGCTAAACGTTGGAGAATAAAATAGGTTGGAAAAGTCGACGCGTTTTCGAGTGCCTTAGCTGAACGAGCTGATTAAAAGGCGAGGGTACAATTTATCCGGTCGCACGCCGTTTCGCTATACAGCGTTCGCCTCGAACCACGAGGAGCTGTAGGCGAAAAGCCTCGGTGCTCCATTGAACTAGGCAATGATGCTCAATGAATCTGAATGGCTGTCGTTTCGTTTTTTTCTTCTGCAGATCGGAAGAGGGAAACTCCCGTGATGGTCAGTTGGCCGGAAGTCACTGGGAATCTTTACATAGAGGAGGGCGAGCCTGCGAAAGGGAAGACTGTTCCGATCGGCAGAATTCATCGGAACATCGAGACGATGTTCAACCAGAAGAACAATTCCATGGAGCAATGAGACGGCGGAACGCGGACAGGATCGGTCGCCTTTTCAAAAAAGGCGTCCAACTGAAAATACATCCGGCGACAATTTGTATTTATATTTTCTATTTATGACCACGGCGAGGGACCTGCGTATTCGTGTCGTTCGATTGTAGAAATACGAAGACTGTACTCGTCGCATCGACGCGATTAGATATTTAATTATCTCGGACTTATTTTTTAAACGCTTCGGTATAGATTCTGTTACTAGGAAATTATACAATGTGAAATTTATCGAATGCCGCAAGTAGAACGACGCTCGAGTGCAAGATACTTCCGAAGATTAGGGGCAGTCGGATAATATACGCGTGTCGTATCAATCGACCGGATAACAGTTTTATTTGAAATACGACAGTGTAGTTCTCTCGATTCTCCATTCTTACATTGCGAATACTATTGTCCCTCAGGTATTTTCAACGCGGTGTGCGGGTAGAAAAAAAAAACGCCGAAAGG